TTTCACTGTTTGTTTTCCATGTGGATAGGGAGGAATAATTTGCATTTACCCCTGCTGCCTCAGCATATCTCATCTTTTCCCACCACCAGCCTAGCTAGGGATAAAGAAGACCTCTATAGAAGATCCCCGTAGATCCCTATAGAAGAGCCCATGATGTCGCTGCCCGAGCTCACACAAAAGGATACCCCTGCTCCCACTGCCCCTTTATCTCATGTGGAAAGACCAATTGAGGGCACTAATGAGCATTAATTGTCCCACCTCGGACCCCACCCCGCCACCCATGCCTCAGCGGCTCTATTTAAGCTCAGCCCTGGAGCATTTATCTTTTTTAGGCTGTTTTTCAGGAACATCTACGTATGACCATGACTGATCCACCCCATGGGCTGCATTCCTGGCTTGCCTTCAACCCTGCCGGCCCTTTCCTGGGGTGGGAATTATCCGGTGATGGGGGTTATCTGCCAAGCAAGGAAAGGTTCTTTTGCTGTATGATGATGAGCAACTTGTTCCTGTCCCTGCATGACATTGGTTTTGTTTCTGGGACTCTGCTATTGCTTTCCCTTAGGTGTTTCTTAGCTTCATTGTTCAGCTCCAGTCCTGCATGTTTTACCCAAAGAGCTCATCCTGCTTTGCTCCAAACCAAGCAATAAGTTTGCTCCCTTCCCCCCAACACGTTCTGCATTCATCCATCCCACGAATGAGCTGCAATCAATAAGCCTGCGTGGAGGGGGAGTCTCTGCAGTCATGCATTCCTGCTCCTGCATGGAGTTATTTGTTCTTGGGACGTGACCTAGAATAGCAGCCAAAATCTCAGGCTCCACACTCAGTTAACCCTCTGAGCATAACCCGCTGGTGTAGGAACTGTGTAGCTGCTGTCAGAGCTCATTGCTCTTCATGTTTCCATTCTTCTATAAGCTTCAGAGATCCGTGAGCACTGGTTGGAGAAAGAGCCTGTGGATTTCCTGAACTGTGCTTAAACATGTGAAAGGTGCCTAAAAACCAGGAAAACCCAGAAAATTCTCATGAACCCCAAGGGTCAGACTGATCCCCTTGTAGCAGCATCACCATCCACAGCTCTGCATGTGTTTTATGCAGAGGTGCCTGTACTCTGCTCCTTTACACCCTTCAATCCCACCCAAGAAGCGGAGGAATTGGGGTCTTCTGGGGTGTTTTCCACCCAGTTGAATGCACTGAGCTGAACTCCCCCTCCCCACCTCGCATTACACCGGGGGTTAAAAGGAAGCGCTGCAGCTCCCTGGTGGTCTAGTGGTTAGGATTCGGCGCTCTCACCGCCGCGGCCCGGGTTCGATTCCCGGTCAGGGAAAGGTGTTTTTTGGGTGTTCCTTTCTGTAAGTTCGGTTTTAATTCGCTGTGCAATGCGCATAACCCGCATCCCCACGCACAAACACTCCTTTCCCCGCTGTCCAGCCCCAGAGCGCTCCCGGGTGCCGAGTGTGGCCGGATGGTACTTGGCACAGCTGGAGGAATAACCCAGCCCTGCCGGGATGGAGCTTTTCCCGCAGCCTTTTCCCTCCGGAGACGCCCCGGTCCCAACCTCCCCCTCCACCGCGCTGGGGGCACCCGGGTCGCAGCTCAGAGGCTGCGCCATCACCTGCTGTCCCAGCGCCCGACTAGCTCAGTCGGTAGAGCATGAGACTCTTAATCTCAGGGTCGTGGGTTCGAGCCCCACGTTGGGCGGCTGCTTTTTTCCTTCTTGGCAAAAGTTTTAGGGCTGTGTCACAAAGGATGCAGCACCATGGGTAATGAGGGTTGTATCCCGACAAACCCAGTGGCATACAGGAGTCGAGGTGGGCTTCCTTTAGCTTTGAAAGGTGGAAAGATGCCCTTTTAACTGCCTTCTTCTTTGCCCTTTCCGTCATTTGTTTTAAATTCTCCTTCAACCTCTAACACTGCAGAGTGATTCCGACCTGCTCTCATCTCAGCCCCCGGCATTATGCTATTTATGATTGCTTTATGCAGTCTTTGAGCCTTGTAAACCTCTCCAGACTAGAACTGGGTGATAAAGAGGAGCAAAATCCAGCCCCAGATGAGCAGCAAGGTGTAACCTGCTCACAAAGTGCCTGATAAGTCCCAGGAAATCCCCATTCTTTGGTTTAGGGCACAACACTTCTAAAAACGTTAATGTAATACCCTATTTTGTCATCCTTTGTGGTTTAGACCAAAGCCTTTTGCTCTACACCTCGTGTAAGAGCAAGGTGAACAGTGCTCCAGTGAGAACAAGCTCAGCTTTGGCCTGGGCAAGCATTACACCGTTCTTCTCCCCAGGTTATCCAGACCAGGATGTGCATTGAACTCTGGCAGGGACCCAGCCCTCAGGGAACCTCCTCCTCTTGTTTGGTTTTGGCTGCCTGGAGCTGAGCTTCATGCTTGAGGACATGCAGGTATCAGTGCTGCCAGCACAAGAGCAGCTGCAGTAACACTGGGTTGGGTTGGTGCAGGTGAAGCCAAAGGACTTGGAAGCGAGCAGGCAGGTTTCTTAGGGTCCTGTCCATCAGCTAAGGCCATAACCACGGAGCTTCACCCCTCCACAAGACGCTGGGCACCGGTTCCTCTGCACAAGGGGAGGTCAAGGAGCCTTGGCCTGGCCCATGTGATGGATGAGGCCATGTCCATGGAGGAGCCGTGTTTGCCCAGGTGCGGGCAGCTCCATTGTTCCCACCAAACAATGGCCCCCGGTGCCTCTGGGGTCGTTCAGGTCCTGGCTCGGCCCTGAGGAGGGATAAAGGCAGCAGGGACAGGAGCTGGGGGGAGCTTGGACCACGGAGGGGAAGCAGAGCCTGGTAAGGGACCTTCTCTTTGGGATTTGGTTTGTGTCTCCTGGCACCATCCCAACACACCCCAAAACCTCCCATTCATTCGAATCCCCCTGTTTCTATACCCATAAATGTCTGGGGTTTTTGCTGAATCAGCATGAGATGGACCCTTTTGGGGAGAAAAACGGTGGAAATGGGGCTTTTTGGGAGCCCGGCTAGCTCAGTCGGTAGAGCATGAGACTCTTAATCTCAGGGTCGTGGGTTCGAGCCCCACGTTGGGCGTTTGTTTTCATTTGCCCCAGTCTGCCTGGGTCTGGGGGCAAGACACTGGTGCTGTGTCTAAGCAAGAGGTGGAGGCATCTTAGGATGTATCTCTACTAATTTTGCCTCAGAAAGGGCATCACAAACCTCTGTTCCCTGAGGGCCTGCTTGGTTTCCCTCCCTTCTAAAGGCTAATCACCGAGGAAACTCATTACAGGGATTAACAAAGCACCCGAGCCATTCTCATCCATAGGTAACGCTGTACTGGGAGACCAGGATCCATCCCTTTTCCCAAGATGAAGGTGCTCTTCGTGGGGTTGACCCTTGCTCTGTGCATTGGGGTTGGTAAGTGGAGGGGGGCATCATTGGGCTCTTGCTCTGTAGAGGGGGGCATCACTGGGCTCTTATTCTGTGAGTGAAGGGGACACTTGGTCCCTTCCCTGGTGAGCTCCACATCTCCTCTGGGGTCTCCTCATCTCATTGTAGGGGTGTTTGAGCCGCCCCCCAGCTCTGCAGAATGGAGCCCAATTTCATCCCCTCTTCTCTGTCTGCTGCAGTTGAGGCTCTTCAATGCAAGGTCTGCAAGTACAAGATCCCCTTCGTGGGGTGCTTCCGGGGCGCGAATGAAACGACCTGTGAGCGGAGGGAGAAATGTGCCATCATCAAAACCTCCCTGGGTACGACGTGGGCCCAAAGCCACCCCTTTCCTTTGGTCAGGGCGGGTTGTGCTTGTCTTTGGGGAGCTAAAAGGGCTCGCGGGATGGATGTTGTCATTGACTGGTTCGGGTGGGAAGGGATCTTAAAGCTCACCCAGTTCCACCTTCCACTGGGGCAGCTTGGCCCAAGGTCCAGCCTGGCCTTGAAGCCCACCCCTGGTTTGTGTTAGCTCGATGCTGCTCCCCTCTAATCACAGCCCCTCTCCCAGGGAAGGTGACCCTTTACTACCAGCAAGGCTGCACCTCTGCCATGAACTGTGGCCGGGAACGGGCATCTGATGCGGAATCCCGCCTGACATCCCGGTATTCCTGCTGCGAGACCGACCTCTGTAATGAGGAGTGGGATGAGGACCCCACAGACTAGCCTGGGGCAGCGTGGTGTGGCCAGTTCAATGCTATGAGCTCTCCAGCTGATCCCAAAGGATTCCCACCCCGCATCCGGATGGTGGGATCCTCTCTGTGTATCTGGCCTTGGCTTTTCCAGCTCGAGCAATAAACCTGCAGGTTATAACCAGCGGCTGGGCCTGGCTCTTGTGTGCTTCCCTTCTCCTATTCCCAGCTCTCCAGACTCAGCATTCCTGGTGGTCTGGAAGCAGCTCGTGGCCCCTGAACATAATCCTGCAGCTCAACCCCCAAGGGCAAGCCAAGGTGCTTCCTCCCACTTTGCTTCCCATTCGTTTTCCTGCAGTGCAGGGCTGGGATTTTCATTGCTGGGAACTTTGCATAAGGGAAGCCAAAAGAAATAAGGGATGTGTGTATTTAATAGGTGTTTATTTCACTTGTGCAAAGAAACACGTTTAAGGTTGTATTTTCCTTGTATTTCCCCCCTTTCCCTGCTGTTTTGGATGTCCCAACCTCTCCTTACCCAAAGCCACCTGTGGTCAGTGCAATTTGTCCTGCAGGTGATGTTTCTGCCCTTCTTTGCCCCGAATATGAGCTGGGATACAAACCATTCATTGATGGCTTTGGAGAAGGGAGGAAAAGCTTCGGTCCTGGAGCCCCGTGGAATGGGAGACGGGGCATTGGAGAGGGTCTGGGCTTGGGGACAGGTGGAGGGAGGTGCTGGAAACGTTATCCATGCTCCGGGCAAGGAAAAGCGCCTGGCACAGGAGAGGGGAGAAGAGCCCATGGGAGGAGGAGGAGGAGGGAAGGAGGCCGGAGGGTGCCCAGGATAGATGCAATGGGGGAGGGCGAGGCCTGGTAAGTGAGATGGGAACGGGGAGGGGGGGATGTGACACAGGGGACAAGTGCAGCCACCGCGGGCTGGGGAGGAGCAGGAGCTGCAGCAGCACCGAGATGTCGGAAGCATCCCGGGCTCCGTGGGCTGCATCCCGCTGGGAGCCCTCAACCTCCCGGCTCGGGCCCCCCACCAGCACCTTCTCCACACAGAAGGTGGGACGGTTTGGGAGGATGCCCCTGTCCTATGCCTCTGCTCCCAGGTATGTGGGGTCAGCAATGGGGGGGCTATGGGATGCACTTGTCCGGGTGTCCCGGGGCTGTCTGTCCTCTTTATCCTATCCCCACTTTGTTCTTCTGCTTTTCCCATTGCCCATTCCTCCTGTGGAGGTGCCTCATTCTCTTTCCCTGCTGTTTCAGCATCCCTGGGTAGGGTGTGGGTTTCTCTCCAGCTCATAGGCCACCACCTCGTCCTTTTGCACCCAGTTGTTTCCATGGTGAAAAATGCATGGATGACCTGGGGAAAATGCGTAGTTTGTGTTTGCTTACAGGTGAGGAAAAATGGAAGGTGAGAGAGAAAGCAATTCCCCTTCTATAAGGAGTGGTGTGTGTGTGTATAAACATATATTGATGTATATGAGAAGAGAGGTGGGTTTTTCCACAATGGTGGAAATGGTGGGCTGCAGAGAAATGCGATTTGGGAAGACCCCTTCCCCCCCCCCCCAGCTCCATCTTGATATATGGACTTTGCATCCTTGTGTATTCCCTTTCTCCTGTTGCTTTTTATGGCCCCTGTTGAGCCCTGGGGCTCAACCAAGGCATCCAAGTCCCCGGCTGAAGCATTGAGGGCAAAGTGGGTCTCTAATGGGAGCTCAGATGGTCACCTGGACCAAAGCCTGGAGCAACTGCTAAACAGGGCTCCGAGCTTGCATTTAGCACCAGGTCAGCCAAAAAAGCAGCAGGAGCCAGACCTGGTGGCTGTATCCCAAATGACACCCAAACCGGCCAGAAAGGACAGGGGGAGCCTGGGATTTGCGAGGGAGCAGAGGGCAGGATGCGTTCCTGCTTGTTATCCCCTCCATCGCCGTGCTGTCCCCAATGGTGGGGTCTTTAGCACCGGTTTAAAGAAACCAGATACAGCAGAAGTGACCTCGGAGGCTCGTTCCTGGAAGAGGAACGCCCACAGGGGGCTGGATGCCAGGCATTCATGTTCCTGGTGCAGCCCTGCCGCAACCAGTCCTTGCCTGCAGGAAGGAGGCCATGGCCGCGGTGTTCCTGCCCGGCAACCTCCAGGATGAAGCCACTTGCTCCGTGTGCCTGGAGTTCTTCAAGGACCCCGTGTCCATCGAGTGCGGGCACAACTTCTGCCGGGCCTGCATCATCAAGAGCTGGAGGGAGCTGGAGATGGACTTCCCCTGCCCGCAGTGCAGGGAGGTTTTCCAGCACAAGAGCTTCCGCCCCAACCGGCAGCTGGCGAACATGTCCGAGATCATCAGCCAGTTCACGCTGCGCGGGGCCAAGGGCGCGGAGGAGGACGGGCTCTGCGGGAAGCACCGGGAAGCGCTGAAGCTCTACTGCAAGGACGACCGGAGAACCATCTGCGTGGTGTGCGACCGGTCCCGTGAGCATCGCCCGCACGCCGTCGTGCCCGTCGACGAGGCATCCGAGGAGTACAAGGTGCGTGTCTGTCCCCGCTGCCTCTCCACGCAGCCGGCTCCGTGCTCTTGTGTACACGATGCTCAATCTTCCCGGGGTTCAGAGCCGCTCGATGCAGTCTGGCTTTCCAAAGCCCTGGAAAACCTCCCTCCTGCCGTGCGCTCACGCAATCCCTGCAGCTTGGGATCAAACACAGGGCAACCAGGAGGCTGTGAGAGGGTTTCCTCCATGCAAGCTCCTGCTCAGCAGCACTGGGCTCGGGCCAAGCCTCAAACACAACCTGCGGGCACCCACCTTATCAGCAGGGCAGCACCTGACGCAGCAAACACTCACGTCTATTCTGGGGCTGGGCGAGCATCCAAAGATGAATCCGAGTCGGTTAAAACGGGGCTGAGGTTTGCTTGTGCCAGGAGCGAAGGCGGGGGAGGCAGCAGGCGATGAGAGCAGCGCCTGTATCCTGCGCTGGCATCCTCGGTCTCCTTTCTGTGTCTGCTGCATGTGTGGGAGCTTGTGCCGGTGCTTGGGGTTCAAATGTGGGTGTCTGAGCTGAGCCGAGCCAGGGCCTGCACCCTGTGTTTCCCTTGCAATCCCTCTTGTCCTTGCACAGCTGTAAAGAGCACAGCAGGGTGGATAACGCAGCGAAGGAAAGGAAGGAACCCCAGAAACAGCCTCTTCTTTCTCTGTTCCCAGGAGAAAATCCAGGGCCGCTTGGATTTCCTGAAAAAGGAGAGGCAGGAGCTGCTGGAGTTCAAAGTGAACGATGACAAGAAAACCCAGGAGCTCCTGGTGGGTGCCCATAGCCGGCGGTGGGGAGGAAGGTCGAGGCTGGGTGGTTATTCCATTTGGAAGGGTTTGAAGCAACATCCTCCTGCCATGAGCTGTAGTGCCACACGTGGCACAAAGGGCAGGGTGTGAGGGTCTGGTTCTGAGGGCCTGGGGCTTGGTCTCGGAGGAGGTTGTAGGTCTCTCTGTGATGACAGCACAAGGAGGAGCTGGGTGGGGGCAGAGATAAGGAACAGGTCACAGGGAGGCAGGAGCTGGGGTTTACATGAGAATAGAGATGCCTCCAGGGAATGATTCCAAGTGGGTTCCTCTACACAGCCCCTTCTCCCAGTTTGGGTGGTGGGACCAGCAGGTGATGACAGGGGCTAAGGAAACCTCTTGGTCTCTGATCCTCACCTGTGCTTTAAGTGCTGATTAACTCCCCACCAAGATAAAGGCAGATAAAGAGAGATAAAGGCAGGTAAAGGAAGCCTGTGCCTAGTGTAGGAGAGAAAACCCACCTAAGATCTGCTGCCCCAGACATGGCCTGGTGCCTCTTCCCTGCAGAGAAGGCTGTGGGGATGCAGCTGCGATGGCTGTTTGTGGCCTTTGCTCTCCATCCCCATCCATCACGCAGCCCCCCATGCAATGACGCCGGTGGGTGCCCCATCCCCACCCAAATCACTGCACCAGCCTGACCCCCTTCATCTCGCTGTGTTTGCTGACCAGGAAACCATCGCGAGCGAGCGGCAGAAGCTGCTCTCGGAGTTCGAGCGCCTGCGGCAGTTCCTGCACGACCAGGAGCATCTCCTGCTGGGGCAGCTGGAGAAGATGGAGAAGAACATCGCCAAGAGGCAGAACGAGAACATCACCGACCTCTCCAAGGAGATCACGCTCCTCAACAAGCTCATCACGGAGCTGGAGGAGAAGATCCAGCAGCCCACGCTCGAGTTCCTCAAGGTGAGGGTCTGGCTCTGATATGAGCCTCCAGGGCTGAGGAAAGGCCTTTCTCCATCCCTGTTAACGTGGTTCTGGGTCCTGTTAGAGGTATTTTGGGGATAAATGTGCTTATTCCCCCCATCTTCAATGAGCAATGTCTGGGATGCACCATGAAGAACACACAGCAGCTCTGGCTCAGGGGCATCCTGGATGTGCTCTTCGTATCCAATAGCTTCTAACCCAATTTTCTTCCATGACGTTGGACCTTTCGAGCACCTATAAATTCCCATTTCGAGGTGTTGAAAGCTGAATTAGGCCCCCACAAATAGTTTCTTAAAGCAAGCACCTCCTTTGTGAGCTGGCCACAGGCCTTGCAAACTCATCAATGTCCGCTCCTCCAGGCTTGGAATGGAGCTGGAATATGGAGCACATGGAGCTGGGCTCAGCAGGACAAGGCTCCTCGCCAGGTTTTACAGTCCTGGCTGCAGGGGCTTGGCCAGACCCTGAAAGCAGAGCTGGGTTTCAAGTCCAGATGAGCCATTAACCAAGCTGGAAAGTATGAGGGAGGGAGCAGATGGGCTCCAGGTATTGATTGCACTGCAAAGAAAGAAGCTGGAGCCCATCCAGCCCCTCCTTGTTACCCAAACTCCCCTTTGCAGCTGAAGTGGGGCTTGGAAAGCAAACCTGAGCTGCCCATCCCAGAACCAAGTAGTCCTGTCCCCAGCCCCATGGCAAAAGGCCAATAGGGATCTTTTAAGTGGCCATGTGTTGATTGTTCTGGTGCCCGCATTGATCCCTATGGGGTTAAACTCCCTCCGAGGCAGCTCTGTCAACATTTGCAGATGGTTTCAGGGCTTGGCCATGGGTGAAAGCTGGTTCCACGTGGTCTTTGCTCGGCTGCTGCCGTTGCTCACAGCCCTGACCTGGAGCAATGCAGGAGCTTCGGCTTTTAAAGCCCATGCTGGAAAACCTCATTCAGCTCCAGGGCCCTTTTCCACTCCCTGGGCTCTGCTTTGAGTCACGTCCAATGTTCTCACTGTGGTTTATGGGTTTTGCACCTCCCAAACTAAGCCACATCATGATACTATGGGCACAAAGCTGCACTGTTTGTATATAGCACTATTTGGAAGGCTTGGTCCCCCCCAGAAGTGAGATTTGGAGGGACCATGGCCTTCCAAAGCTGGAAGCAAAGATCTGAGGCACGGATCCATGCTTATTGTTGCAGCCATAAAGGATGAATGTCTCAGCTGGGTTTAATGGGGAGATGTAGCACATATTGCACAAGGATTTCACCCGGTCTCTCTTCTTCCTTTCTAGGATGTAATGAGCATCATAAGCAGGTATGGAGCTCTCTTGCCCCCCTTTCATGTTTTCCCCCCTCCCAACACTGTTTGGAGGTCAGTGCTTGCAGTGCAGATGCCAGAGGAAGGCACTGTCAGCTACAGATGGGAATGAAACAGGGGAATAGGAATGATTTCCTTATTGCTTTCCCTTCTCCCTTTGCAGGAGTGACAACGTGAAGTGCCAGAAGCCTGTGCCCGTGTGCACGGACATGAAGATGCACATCTGCAACTTCTCCCTCAAGACCGTCGTCCTTGAGAAGGTCCTGAAGAAGTTCAGAGGTACATGGAGAGGAGCCCGGGTGTTTGAAACAGACCTTTTCCAGCCGTTGGGATAAGGGATGAGGAGCGCTGGGGATGCTGGGGATGCCTCAAGGTCCCTGACCACAGCACTGGAATAGGAGGATAGATCCTGTTGGAAAGGGCTTCTGGGGATGTGCATGAGCAGGAGATGTGCTGACAGCCCAAGAGTTTGTTAAAGAGGGAAAACCGATCCCGACCCATCATTTTCAGCGCAATAGCCTCCAGTTTTCACACCTTGGATGGCTGGAGGCCGGGATTCCCAAGGCAACCCCTTGCAGTAGCGCTGCAAGGCCACAAGATGTTGCTGGGGGATTCGGGGAGGAATCAGGGCAGGGTAAATGAGGTTTAACCAAACCCTGCCTTCTCCTCATGTCCGGAAGCTTCCGTTATTTAAAGCTTACACAAACTGACCTTTATTTAGCAGGAATTTCCCCATTGCGGGAGCTGGTGTTGCCCCATCCTCAGCTCTCACTGCCTGCCACCTCCCCTGCTAGTGCTTTGATGTGTGTAAAGGTGCCTGAACGGGGGGGGGTTGTGCTCTCTTGGTGTCACCATTGCCTTGTTTTGTCTTTTCCTTGCAGACAACCTGCGAGATGAGCTGGGACGAGGTGAAAAAGGTAAAGGGAAAAACTTTCAACCACAGCGCCCCGGAGCAAAGATGCTAAACTGGGGCTGTGTTTAGCAAAGCCAAAGAGAGGGGTGAGGAAAGAAGGATAAAACCAGAGGACAAGAGGTTTCCTCTTTTGGGTTCATTTCTTCTCTCCCCGTGATGTGCAAAGGCAGTTGTGGGTCTCCCTTTAGGGCGTCCTGAACCAGCTCTTGGTCCTCATTTACCACAATTTGCTTTGCTGTGTTGCCCTTCACCTTTACCTGATGGTGAGGATGTGAAAAGGGTGAGGCGGATGCTCATCCCATCCCTTTAAGTGGGACCTTCCTCACCCACCTCTAGGGAGAAGGAGCACGTTTGTTAGCACCTAAAACGAGTCCTCTTATAGTACCTGGAAGCCTCAGGCTTCCTGCAGAGTCAATGGCGAGAGGAGGCCTCTCAAGCACCTCCGAGCCAAGCCAACGTTGAAACTTGGCTTTCCTTCCCCACAGGCTGCCCGGGGAGCTGAAGAGGAGCAGTTGTTGAGGTTGGGATGTGGTGCTTGAGGTTGGGAAGTGCTTCACCCCCCCAGCTCAGGCTTTTCCCTGTCCCCATTCTCACTGAGTTACCCCTGTCCCTGCTGTCACCAACAGAGGACCTGACCCTGGATCCCGACTCCGCAAACCACCTCCTCATCCTCTCCGCCGACCTCAAGAGCGTGCGGATGGGCTGCAGGAAGCAGGAGCTGCCCGACAACCCCAAGAGGTTCGACACGAACTCGCGCGTGCTGGCCACCACGGGCTTCCAGTCGGGAAGACACTACTGGGAGGTGGAGGTGGGCGCCTCGGACGGGTGGGCTTTCGGGGTGGCCAAGGAGTCCGTCAGGAGGAAGGGGCTGACGCAGTTCTCCCCCGAAGAAGGGATCTGGGCAGTGCAGCAGAACGGAGGCCGCTACTGGGCCGTCACCTCGCCCCAGCGCACGCCGCTGTGCCTCAGCCAGAAGCTCACTAAGGTCAGGGTCTACCTGGATTATGAAGGGGAAGAGGTTTCCTTCTACAACGCCGAGAACATGCAGCACATCTTCACCTTCAACGTGGCCTTCCAGGAGAAGGTGTTCCCGCTCTTCTCCGTCTGCTCCACCATCACCTACATCAAACTGTGCCCGTGAGGCTTCCCCGAGGACCCGGCTCCGTGATCTTCACTGGATGAGCACAAGGGACTCTGGAATGAGCCGAGCAGCCCAGTTCAGCTGAGAGATGGGAAACCAGGCAGGGAGGGGAAACCATCGCAGCCCCTCTTGCTGGGCTCTGAGAGAGGTTATGAGTGTTCCAACTGGAGTTTCTGGCTTCTTCCCTCC